TTTGTAATTTACTATTCCTAGCTACTGCACTCTTTTTTCCTTCGCTAAGGTTTTGTCCCGATCTCCCCATGGGTTTTACTTAGCAAGGTTTTTAACGAGACAGTCATTTACGTGTACTCCTATTACGTCAATTCAATAAAATCACATCTTTTGGGGCATTTGATATTTTTTTTAATTAAATTAAAAAACAAAACAAGGGCCGTGGCCGGCCTGTGAAGGGCCTGGGCCCAAGCACGGCCCTGGCCCTTATGGACTAGGGCCAGGGCCTGGACCGAGCCTGAGTTTTTCTTCTCAGGCCCGGCCCAGGCACGGCCCAGGCCTGTGATAGGCCTGGGGTCAAGCGTGTCGTGCCGGCCCGGCACGACACGTTTGACAACACTATTCGTGGGCCGTTTCGCGGGCTTGGGCCGGGCCGAATCAGGGCTTAGGCCGGGCCAAATAAGGGCCGCGCCGCGGGCCTCCACGTGCTTGGGCCGCGGGCTGAGAAGTTGAGGCCCAACCCTAGTCCATTACATGTGCCGTGGCGGCACGGCCCGTAATAGTAACGAACCGGGCCGTGCCAAATTAGGCACTATTACGGGCTGGGCCGGGCCGTCCATGGACGGCCCGGCCCATTTGACACCTCTATAGACAAGCAAACAAAACAACAAATAAAAAATTTATCTTATTTTTGTATAATCTTAATGACAGTATCATTATGAAAAAGAATGAATATAAAATTTGTAAGTAATTTGAAACAATCAAAATGTACGAAAACACGAGTCTGCAATCTATTTATTTTTATTATGTTAAGAAACGAGAAAATTATGGCAAGCAAACAAAACAATGAATAAAAAAGCTCTCGAATTTTTATTATCTTAATGATGATATTATTATGAAAAGGAACACAAAACTATAATACCAAAATAACACAAAAAATAATGATAAAAAATGACAAACCGATAAATCGTGAGGAGGAGGAGAAGAAAAAGAAGAAGAAACGACAACAAAAACACACAAAAGAAAAGAAATGAAGCATGACTACGAAATATGATGCAAGCAACGTACGGAAAAAAATGAACACCAAACATGATCACCAACGTTTTAATTCTAAATACCTCTGCAGCTCTTCAAGTCTGTAACTAAAAGCAATATGTTACGATTAGACACATGCCTAAAATAAAAAAAAGGAGAGGAGTGTTTGAAGAGAGAAGTGAGAAAGAAAAATTACACTTATGTATTAAATTTTCATTTTAAATGATTAATCTGTTTAATGAGTCACAAATATTTTATTTTTTATAAATCGACCCAGCTCGTTTGAGCAATGTACTTTGATACCGTATTAGAGTTTAAGGAGAGAAGTGAGGGAGAAGAATTACATTTTATAAAGTATTGGGCTTTCATATTAAAAAGTTAACTTATTTAAGTGGAGTGACTTAATATTCTTATATGGTTGTGATTATTTTTGTATTTAGACTATATGGGACTCAAATATTTTATCCTTAACAAAAATCAAATGATTTAAAGATCATATCAATATAAATAAAAAAAAGTTACTACCAAATATTAATTAGGGTTAAAAAGGAAAAAGTATGTAATATATTATAAAAAAAGCTCATAAATTACCAAAAAAAAAAAAACCCACCATACAAGGAACATACCAAATAAACGATAAGAGTATACCTGTTTGTCTATCTGTTTTTTTTTTTTTAGGTTGGGTGTACCTGGTATTAGATGACTCTTATTATTAAAGAGTATACATTTTTAAAATATTGTATATAAATGGAAATTTTTAGTTTCAAGACTTTCATAGTAGACATTTTATGTAATTATTTCAATATTTATACTTTTTTTTTTTGGTTTCTCTTAAAATTTCATTTTTCATCTCTTGTAAGAAAAATTTCATTGCCACCTAATGATGAAATAATAGTGAGAAAATCGTTTTAGTGTGCCAACAAGAAAAACAACATATGTATAAGAATCAGTTTTGATATTATAACGTTTACACAAAAAAAATCATAATTCTTAAGAAAATTATTTTATTAAGAACAAGTAAGGGAAAAAATTCATATTTCAAAAAAGCGTCAAAGAGAAAAATGAAGTGCCAAGGAGCCTTTACGAAAAAAAAAAAAACAAAAAGAATAATAAGTAAACACATTTAAATAAAATTATTTTAACAAAAAAGCTTTGCAGCTTATGTTTAGTAGGAAAGAAAAGTAGAAGGAAGGAAGAAGGTGAAGGGATTTTGGGAGGAAAAATGAAAATGTAAGTTATTTGGTAGGAGAGAAAAGAGAAAGTAAGAGAAAATGGAGTGGAAAATAATTCATGTGAGCCCCACCATTTTTTTTCTTTTCACGAGTGGGTAGAAAATGGGATGGAAAATGAGGACAACTCATTAAAGTGAGCAAAGTTACAAAACTACCATTTTTTCCATCAACATCCAAGCAAAAGATTTAAGGGTATAAAAGTAATTTACGAGTAAGATTTTTTCTTTCCTCCCAATTTAACTTCCATTACCAAACAAGTGAAGGTAAGCTCATTTTCTTTTAATCTTCTCATACCAAACAACATAAAAGAAAATCAATTTCCTTTCTATCATTGCTATTTTCCATCACTTTCATATTTCCTTTCTATCCTATTTTCTTTCCTTCCTACCAAACATAACATAGGTCCCACCTTTATTAGAAGATAGCACTGGGCCCTAAATCTGCATATCAAATTTTTTTTTTTTTTAAAGTGTTTTAAATAAGAATGCCATCAAAAGTAAACCCTACTTTAGATTAGAGATGTCAAAAGGGCCATGCCGGGCCGGCACGGCCCTTCTAACCCCAGGCCCATGGCGGGCCTGGGCCGTGCCTGGCACGGCCCTTTTTTTTTAATATTTAATTAAAAAAAAGAAAATATATCATATGTCCCCAAAAGATGTGATTTTATTGAATTGAGATAATACAAATAAGTACACATAAATGATCAACTCGTTAAAAACCTTGTCGAGTAAACCTCGTGGGGAGATCGGGACAAAACTTTAGTGAAGGAAAAAAGAGTGCAGTATTCTAGGATAAGTAAATTACAAAATCTAAGTGCTTCTAGAAAATTCTGTTATGTCTAAACTCAATCTTAACCTAATTTTCTTAATGCACTTGAGTTTCACTTATGACACTTATGATTAGCAATATTTTTTAGGATTTTTTTTTTAATTTCAAATTTGATGACAAAAAAAAAGTAATATATCATATGCCCTAAAAATATGTGATTTTATTGAATTAATATGAATAATTATAAGAAAATGATTGGTTGACCAGACGGCATAGGTCGGCTAATTGGCCCTAAAATGCCTCAAACCTCATTAAAATTTCATGTCGTGGGCTTGGCCCTTCGCGTGCCTGGGCCTTGGCGTGCCTGGGTCGTGCCTGGGCCTTGGCGGGCCTGGGCCGTGCCTGGGCCTTGGGCGTGCCTGGGCTGCGGGCCTCAAACATGAGGCCCAGCCCAAGCCCTTCTGGCGTGCCGTGCCGGCCCGGCCCATAATAGTACAGGGCCGGGCCGTGCCGCATTTACTACTGTAGA